GAAGCTCTACCTCTAATTGTTGTTTGATTAATTTTCAAGTAGTGTTATTTATGTTAAAATCATTGCTTCACCAGATTACACTATCCATGAGGGTAGAGCTTTTTCTTTCTCTATTTTTTTACTGATATGCACCAAGAGCTTAGAATAGTTCCTCACTAATCCTGCTACAGCTACATGTAGTATGTACTCAAATCACTGAAAATTTATGACATGATGAATTAATTACCACAACAGTGCCACTGTTAAGGTACCCTGGTGCACAGAATATGAAGTGAGGCCTTTATTGAAACTGATTTGTTTAAATTTCTACTGTATCCTTGGGTCCTTTTGCTATTGTAAGTGCAAAAATATAAACATCCTGCAGTTTCTCCCTCCTTACTTTATCTGTTTCTCCACAAAATCTGGTGACCTCTATACTTTACCTTGAATTCAGTGACTTCACACATTCTATTTTTACTAACCAACCCTGGCCACAACAATTTCCTATGTCTCATGCTCTTCTACAATCAATGTGACCTTGACATTCCTCTCATCAGAAGGAAGGTCCATGTCACCTCCTCTTGAATCTGGGTGGGCTTGTGACTCATTGTCCATGTCACCTCCTCTTGAATCTGGGTGGGCGTGTGACTCATTTTAACCAATACAATGGATGGAAATGGCACTGCGTGACATCCGAGGCTAAGTCATAAAAGATGGTGCAGCTTTCATCTTATGTGCTGGAGCACTCATATTCAGAGATTTGGGCCTCATTGTTAAAATTTGACTACCACAAGTAGCCATAATGTGAGGAAGCCCAAACAACATTAAGGGGCTACTTGCAGATATTTTTGTCAACAGCCTGGCTGACAACTCCAACTGACAGCCATGTAAGTAAGCCACCTTGGATACTAGCTCAGTCAAGGCTTCTCATGACCAAGTGTGAGCCACCATCTCAAGCCCATCTAGAATTCCAGACTCCCAAAATTATGAGCAAAATATAATAATTCATTATGCAGCAAAGATAACCAGAATATCCTGCTAACTTTCTATCATTCAATGCCACAGCAGTCCCATCCAATCAATAGTATCCATTCAACAGGGTAAGGAGTAATTGATAAAAGGAGCGTTTCAGAGGAATCTGGAAGACAAAGAAGTATGTAGGCACCCAGAAAATTGTGTTCTAAAACAATAATGTTCGTTAGATTCTGGAGCAATAGCAATGACCCCACAAGAAATATGCAGGCTATATAAAATCTTGCCAAGGCCATTTATTTTACCCTTATCTGCAAGATTTGTTCTGATATTCACAGAATTGCTAGCAGCATTTGCTGACAGGCAGCTCCCAACACATGGTTTCTGTGATCTTGCTGAATTGCCCAGTTCCTAGTTCTTCCTAAGTATTTCTTTATTATGCAGATTATGCAAAACTATGGATGGAAAATAGTTTTAGTGGGTTCATCAAGAAAATCACATACAGATTATGCAAAACTATCCAGGAAAAGAGTATTAAAATCAAAGGGTTCCTCTTATGCAAATATTTGCTATCTAAGGGTGAGTATGAAAAAATATTTGTAACCGTGTAACTGTCATATCTCACCACTCGATGTTTAATACAGCTTATGGGATAAACCATCTTTAAAATGCTTTCATAAAGTTTTCCAAAGTTCTGCTCGAAGGGTGCTTCCTTGAAATGGTTGACATAACTGAATAGTGCTACATCTAGTCCTTACTGCATATCTTTTGTGGAGGCTCATCCCTGATATGTTAGATTAACAACCTAATCAGAGACTTCTCCATGCTTCTGCTCTTTTACCTCCTATAAACTCCTCTCAAAACAGAAGCCAGAATAATATAAAAGTCAGATTCTGTTTCCTACTTATGTCAATGTTTCACATGTCCCTCAAAGGAAAATCTAGAGTTCATAGGATGACCTATAAGGCCTACTGCCATCTGGCACTGATTACTTCCCTGATCTTTCCTCCTATTCTTTTTCCTCTCGCTCCTTCAACTCTAACCTTGGCCACCTTGATTGTCCTTAAACATACTAGTGACAGACTTAACCCAGAGAGTTTCCTTTGGCTTAACATTATTTTAAATT